TACATTTTTTTTTTTTTTTTTTTGGCATCTCAATTCTTTGATTGATCTTGATACTTTATTCAGTTATAGTCACAACTAACATACAATTGTGTTGCTTTTCGCGAGTTCTAATTACCTACAGTTTCATCTATACGATTCTTTTGGCATCTCAATTCTATGATTGATCTTGATACCTTATTCAATTATAGTCACAACGAAAACATAATTGTTTTACTTTGTGCGAGTTCTGATTACCTACAGTTTTATCTATATGATTGGCTTCTCAATTGTATTACTATATAATCTCACTATTTGACTGAAAAAGAACAATCTCTGCATGGATAAAGTAATTTAGTGACTGAAATTCCTAATAACTTGATCATCATCAGTGTAAAATATCACCACAGCTAAGTCGAATAAAACTAGTACAACTAAGTAATTCATAAAGTAAGCGTAGCACTGACCACGGAAGATACGTTTATTAGTCTACACTCAAGATTATCTATATCTACAAAACTATTTTTTGCTTAAATCTAGAAAACACACATCTCAACTGTTCCTGGTGAACATAAACAAAGTCATATCTATAACAAAGATGTCGTGTATATTTGTTGTAAGAAATACAATTGAAGCGTATCAGTCCAACTCAAAATCTTTCACATCCCTCAAATCTGTCTGGGGAATGAAGATTCATGAAGTCAAGCAATTATATGTAATCAAACAGTCCTATTATGAGCATGACCTCAGGTAAAAGCATTTAAGAACATTTTAAGCCTCAAATACAACGGCTACAAATTCTTTGCTTAAACAAACAGTACGGACCTCTTCTTTCCAAGAAAAAAACAAAAAAGACAACCTTACTCCCAGTTATAGAATCTGGCTTGTAGATTTGCCAATCTTGACAATTCCAAGAAAATAACAGTTGCAAGAAAATTCCAAGCACATATGCAACGTCAAGAGTGCAACAAACAATGGAGAATCATGAGAAACCAAACATCAATATCATTTGGAATGCCACAAGTTCATAATTACATCTGCAGTAAATCAAAAGCTACAATATGTAGTATGCCCCGAAACAGAAGTTCTGGTTTCTCATTCCAAAACAGACTCTTGATAAATAATCATAAACTTCATAGATGATCTTGGGCTGTCTAATAATTTCTTAGCCAATCGTGATAAATATCGGGACTCACAACTCTCCAAACATTCCCTGCAGATTCTCCTCTCTGATATGATAACAAACTTCTTCAAAGCCATTGCATTCTGTAGTAGAAACTCCAAAAGTTCGAAAAGCTTATCATTGCCCCTTCCAAACCACCTCTTAAACACTCCGCTATGCAGCCAACAACCTTAACATTCTTGAGATTGGGAAACACATTTCCCGAAATCCAACTCTGCAAACTGATAGTATCTCCTTTGGCAAAATAACTTAGCTCAAGTTGGCAGCGAAAATTATTAAGCTGTAGCCGATAATATAATCAGAATCAAATGCAGGTTCACAGAAGAATGGAATATTCCGTAGAAGGCAAAAGAAAAAAAAACATTGCAGTAGTGTATAATACAGAATACTAACTTTCAGAAGCCACCAACCTTGTGAACAGTTCTCAGCAAATGATTACAATAGCTTATTCCTAATATGCTCAAGCAGTAGATAAAACAGCAAAAAGGGGTTCAGTTTGTCACCGTTCCTTTCCGAGCCCGTTTACCAGATAGAAAGCAACTACTTGACAAATTGATTTAAAGCTATAGTGACAAAAGATTCTTAATGATAATTAAGGATACATCTGCATCCACCTTAAGAAAATTTCCAAACTGGCGAGGGTGGGGGTGGGATGAGGGAGGTGTAAGACTTAAGAACTCAAAGATGTTAAAAGCACAACATAAAAGGGCAACCCGGTGCACTAAGCTCCCGCTATACGCGGGGTCCGGGGATGGGCGGGTCACAAGGGTCTATTGTATGCAGCGTTACCCTGCATTTATTCAAGACGTTGTTTCCACAAAAGCACAACATAAATTGAGAGAAAGTACGACCTCAACTCCCAAGTGTACGTTGAGTGTCTCCAAAAGAGTTGAGGTCCGCAAGAGGCTAGCTACTCCATACAAATTATGCTTTGTCCCATTCATCTCTAGTGTTAGACATTTGCATCTCAATTTTGGTGGCGACACTCCATTGAGTTGTAGCATGAACACGACCTTGATGAAATAATTCCAAAGAAAATTGTAAAGAATAGAGAAAGAAGAAACAGGAAAGAAAAAATAACCCACAAAAAAAGTAGTGCTATGACAATCTAACCATCTAACCCTTTAATGAACAAAAAGTGTCTAAAATAATGATTGCCGGTAAAAATTATCCAACTTCAAAGAGTAGATAAGAAGATCATAAAAGGTCATAAAAGGCAAAAGCAAAAGACACGGACTCTTCAAGCAATACAATGATTGCATATTCTTCAACACTAAATCTTGGTCATAACTGCCCGTAAAGCTCATTTCGTCGAATTTCCTGTTATGGAAGACTCGATTTCTTCCCATGGTGTGTGCTTGTGGTCTTAACCATCATATTGATGGTAGCGAACCAATACCACCCGAGTTTTTAGGTGATAAACAACCTAATCCATAAATCTTGGATTCATCAAGATCAACTTGTGTTGAGCTGGATTGTTGCTTCGGTTTCAGAAAGTGTTTTACCACAGTTGGCTGGAGCAGAAACTGCTCATGAAGCCTGGGATAAATTCGTGATGGTCTATGCGCCAGGTTCTAAGCCACAAGTTCGTGAACTAAAGACGCAATTGCATATTTTGCATCGAGATAATGCCACCATTGAGAGCTATGCTCAAGGAGACAAGGTGATTTTAGATAAGCTTGATGTTCTGCAAAACCCAGTCCATAATGATGAACTCGCCGAGTTTGTACTTGCCGGTCTAGGCCCTGCCTATCGCCCGTTCACAAGAGCCCTTGAATATCGTCATGAAGAGTAGATAGGAAGATCATGAAAGGTCATAAAAGGCAAAGACAAGATCTTTCTATATGGATTATAAAATTCAATTACTCAACCAAAAAATCTTTTTCCACTGAAACTTTCATGTATACATAAGTTCATAATTGTATTAGATTCTGAAGGCTCTTCTCTTTCTCAGGTTTACACTCTGCAATTCTTAGTAGAAATCAAATAGAGAATAAGGACTTTTGACGTGAAAACAAACCTCTGCTAACCAACGTCCGATTATTAGCTCAGTTGCATAACTCAGCTTTTGAAGATAGTCCAGAACAAGGTTTCTAAAATTTTGATGCTAATCAGCACAACTGTGTTCTGCAGCATCAGGATCAACCCCCCAGATGTCAGTGATACATGTAATGCTAAAAGTGAGTCTTGCATTAACCAAAGAGGAGACATTTACTAGCCTACACTTGAGATAATCAAGATCTCCTAAAATCTCCAAATACTGAAGATATGGCGCAATAATTTCCAAAGGATCTTCAACTCTGCCATAAAACCCCCTGTAGCGATTCAACGTTAGTCTCTTTAAATTTGAAGAAGTGATTTCTAGACGACGGAAACCATCGAATGAAGACAACTCCAGAGTTTCCAAAGCAGGAGAACCTGAAAGTATTTTTGCAATATCGTCATCATCTATAAAAATATAGTTCAAAATTAAGCTCTTCAGAGACTTCCACTGTATGACTGATTCTTTATCAAACACGCAACAACTCCAATCCAATGTAATCAATGAGGAGCAATGCAGATAGATATAGGCAGTTCAAAAGAGAGATCGTCATCATATGAACACAATACAACATCTTCCACTTTTCTTTCCACAGCAAAACTAATCCATTGGCTGATTTTCAACCCAGCGGTGTAACCTAAATCGAGTTGGAATTTTTTGATTTTGGAACAAGTGGAATGAGTCAAAACATGGTCTTCAAAGGATTTGAAGTTTTCTGCTTTCTTGCAATCTATACCAATGAAAAGGAAGTTATAAATTGAAGTCCAGAGAAAACGCCACCTTTTTGAGAAAACTCAAGATGCCACCGCATCTTTGGTCGGCAAAAGAGAGAGAATTTGAACAAGGAGTGAGTCCGGCAACTGACTGATACGATCTAGGGTTTCTGCAGTTCCAGTGATTCCATTCTTTTGTTTCTTCGGCACTGAATCTGTCAAATTACTACTTCTAAAATCGCCATTTTTGCTGGAATTGAGTGAAGCCATGGTTTTTCAATTTTGGGGTTTCTGGGTTTCCCCCATTTTTCATCCCTATTCCCTACTTTTAGTTTTTGGAGGGAAACTAGCTCAATATCCTAGATTCCGATGGCATTGTACTTATGAACAAGAAATAAAATTTCCCAAATACTCTGTTTGGACAATATGTAATTGAAGTTGAAAAAAGTATATATTTAAATAATATATTTCAAGTTCAAATTATGTTTGGATATAAATTTTACTTTGAAAAAAATTGATGCTTTAAAGTGAACTTTATGATCTCACTTAGAAGCATTCATCAAATCACTTTTGCAGCTTCATATTCTTTATTTTAAGTTGAAGTTAAAATAACAATAAAATTTAAGAAAAGCAAAATTTCATTTGCAGATTTCATTATTTGTAAATAATATGTGTACCTAAATGATATTACACAATCGTGCAGTATAAATATTGAAGAATTATTAAAAAGCTACTTTTCTAAGTCATAATGGCGGAGATTCATTGTCTATATCTTGGCATAGAATTTGAACTATTATTGAAGTTAATCAAGGTTTGGAATGTTTTCTTAACAACAGTTGTGCCCAAATTGCACTCACTGTTATTGTCAAGTGTTTTTTTCTCACTTGGCGTTCAACATCGTGTTGGAGCTCGATTAATTTAGGTTCGTGTTCTAAAGCACTTTGCAAAAGTTATTATATTCGAAATCTCTATGCTTAGGAATAACGAGGTACTTATCATCCTACCATAACTTTTGCGGATGCTAGTACTGTCATCACATACACAAGAAGAAACTTAGCAGAAATATTACTGAAAGTAAAGTACAAATTCCTATATAGTGGCACAGGCCAAACATACTTATTTGGATAGAGTTATGAACATTAACAAAGTCCATAATCTATTTAAGAGAGGACACTGATCCAATATATATGTACGGTGGTCGATCTTACATTATAATTTTGTGATATTTAAATGAGGCAATTGCCTCAATTCATTTTCTCCCGTTTTTCAAAAAGAAATTTGGAATATCAAAGACGAGAAATGTGTTTCATTTTTCTCACGAGAATGTCCCTACCTAGTGTGTCAATATGTGAACGGCATGGTTTCAGCCGCCATGAACTAAAGCCAAAGCTTAATCAAAGTTAAAAAAGAAAACTCAAAATTTAATACGCTATTTTAATGTACTATAATTTTTCAAGTCCTTTGTCAGTAGCACCTCGTGCTGAAAAGCTTTTAGGAGTTAGAACCTCACAAATTGTGGCCAAAGAAAGGCTTGTATTTTTGATTTATTTATTATATTTTTTTTTTTCTGGAAAAAGTAATATCTTTTACATTTAAAATTTTAAGTAAGTTTCCAAGAAAATCTGGACACACGATTCCTATTAATCCGTGTTGGCCACAAGAAGCCTAATTAGTCAAGTCTGTCTTTGCACACAAATTAAAGTTGTCAAACAGAGAACATAGTATCTATCAAACATTCAATAAAAGCAGCCAAACCTAATGAGTGATGCAATGTCACGAAATTTCTTAGCTCATTCCCTTGCCTGTGTATAAATACCATCCATATTCATGAATCCATTTTTATCGTTTCTCTGCGTATTCATACTTGGGTTGAATTAGTTTTAATTCTCTCTTCCATATATTGCATTTCTGCTTTCGAATTTTCTTGAAATTATATCAACCATGTCGACAGCTAGTGCTTATCTTGCTGAGGCTTATGCCATGAAAACACTTCACAAGGAAAAGATGAAAAGTTTGGAGAAGGAAGAAACTTGTAATCAGTGGAAAAAGTCTTCTTCTTCTGGGGGTTGGTTCACTAAGATGTTCAATAAAGTACATCCTGTCACCGCTCCCTCGTCGAATTCTGCCACAAATTTGAGATAGAACGCGGCGTTCTAGCTTCTTGATTTAGACATGTTGGAGTGTCACATATTAATTGAAGAAATGGGAATATTATATGTCTTGAACCATTTTTAGCCAATATCTTTTTGGGCGTTGAATTAGGCACAAAATTCATTACTTCTTTCATTTTTTTAAACTTGTGTACGTGGAAGGAATTTGACTCGATCATGTTGTGATTTGGTTATGTAACCTTTCTTTCATTCTTTTGTTCTTATGAGTAATACATATCAGAATTTTCAGCAGTGTATTAATGAGCTTATTCAAGTTGCGATCCATTCTTAAATCTTTTTTCTCTTTCCTAATTATTAAGAAAATTCGAAAAAATTATTGTTGGTCAATAAAGTTTTTCTACGACCTATTTCACTTTATTTGGAATTCCTTGATTTTAAGTGTCAATTTACGTTCTTATTGTCTAAAAAAGTCATATGACATCCAAATATAAATGCATTTATCATATTTTTCAGTCAATTAGTTTTTTGGCTCTTTACAAACTTGTTTTTAATTTTATAAACCTATCTTTTCTTTAGTGGGAATTACACATAAATACAAGAGAAAATCTCGCTTTATACCCATTAATTCTAAATTATTTACTACTCCTATCCATGGGGCCCTAACTATTTACCTAGTTATTTTCACTGTAACTGTTTTGTGTATGTCTGCATCACCTCCGGTCATCTCTTTACCTGTTTGCAGAATTGCATTGTGAAAAGGAAAGGAAAATTGTTTTCACAATTTACCTGTTTTCAAAACAAATCTCAAATGTTTTCATCATAGTAGGTAAAGGTCATCTCTTTACATGTTTGCAGAATTTTTCCCTCACTTTGAAATAGAGGGGAATGAATTTGGACTGCCCATACGAGTGGGGAAAACAAGTATCAGTGAATCTCTGGAGAGATCTATGGAAGTTTGTGAGAAAATTGTTTGTTTTTATTTATTTGCGGCTGAGAATTGAATAAAATAAAATTTACTGTATTTAATTGCGGGGAGTTAACAAATGGAAGGAAAGCATGTATTGAGATTTTTTTGAAGCTCCTGAATTTAAAATTTTTATTTTGAAGATTTCTTGTTTGATTCAAAGTGAGTGCTGTTAAATATTGCTTATAGTACCTTCTGGAAGTTCATACTAAAATTTGATATCATTTGGAGCTGATTTGAGGTGATTGAGATCGAAATTTTCAACTGAAAATCGAAGAAGAACACAGCTACAGTATACCGCTACGGTATACAATATGCTGTAGGAGTATATAGCTATACTGAGACAGTATACTATTATAGTTTACAATATACTGCAATGGTATTGTAATAATCGAAGAAGAACACAGTTACGTAACAGTATACCGCTACAGTATACCGCTACAGTATACAATATATTATAGGAGTATATATACTACAACAGTATACTATTATAGTATACAATATATTATTATAGTATACTGTAATAATATGCAATATACTGTAATATTATGCTGTAATAGTATATAATATACTATAATAGTATACTTATTACACGTATATTTACTTGCCTTTTCCCTTTTAATTTGCTTTAAGCTTTTACCCAGCGTGAGGGGCAAATTGAAAATGCAAAAATAAAATAAAAGATTATAGTATGCTATATAATATAACGGTATACTCTTACAATTAGATCCTTTTAGAATTTTTTGAAATTTTTATTGACAATTGATATTATTTCAGTTTAATAATTGAATTAAATTCTTTTTACCTCTTTGCGTACAATTATATACCCTGTTGGTATAGCTATATACTATACTGGTATCATATGTTAGTTATTTTTTGGTTGTATTAGCTATATTTAATTGGTACACAACTTGATTTTTCTTTAGTAATAGTATAAAAAAATAATAAGAAATAGTGAAAAAGTAAATGAAATTAGATTATGAAGAGAAAAAGAATATAAAAAAAGAAGTTAAATATAATTAGAAAAGGATAAAAGAAAAAAAATAAGAAGAAAACGAGAAAAAAAGAAAAGGAGAAAAGAAAAAAAAGAAGAAGAAAAGAAACATAAAAATAAAAAAATTGGAGAATAAAGAAAAAATTCCCCACAAAAATTACTATGGGATTTTTTTTTTTACATAACTAAGCAATATTAAAAAATGTAATACATCCTGGTAGCACCAATCACAATATATCAATAGTTGCAACAAAGATATTTCTTTTATAGCATATCCTAATCAAAACCGAAACCCCAACAAATATGCCTAAGTTCTCGCACCTTTTGTAACATAATGATTTAATTTGTCCCTTATTTATCTTCTAAGCTTCCTTAGGCCCCAACCCTATTGATTCCATTCCTTTTTTCTCTTTGGATAATACACATATTATTTAACATGTATTTGACTAATTTTATAATTTTTGGTTTATGATTTCTTTCATGTTTATTTAAATCTTAATGATGTATAAGTATATTAATTTTGACACTATATATATATATATATATATATATATATATATATATATATATATATATATATATATATATATAT